AAAAGCGCGGTGCGTAAACGAGATGTAACGGCGACAAAGTACGTACCACGGTTTACTTTCATGTTTTAGATGAGTTGGTCTCGTGAAATATCTATGTACACGTTCAACATGCAATTCGTTTCTCACATTACAAGTTTTAGAATCTTAATAATTAATCGAGTAACGTTACTTGTCACTGATAAAGGTGTACAAATCAATAGCGTTTTATCCCTACATTCTTCGCGATCGAGTCTTGGAAACCAGTAACGTAAAAATAATATCACGCACGGAACAACTCTCGCTGCTGCCTGCCGGCTCGACGTTCGGCGAGCGAGTGATAAGTACGGAATTTCCATTACGTAGATAGGCCAACGAATTCTCAACGTTTTTTTGTTGTTTTTCACTCGGCACGGTGACGTACGATGTTTTTGCGTACCATCATTGTACCTGAAGGTCGCCGCGCTCGCACTCGCTCGCCGAACGTCGAGCCGGCAAGCAGTGGCGCGAGTCGCTCCGTGCGTGGTATTGTTTTTGCGTTGTCGGTTTCCAAGACTCGATCGTGAAGAATGTAAGGATAAAACACTATTGATTTGGACTCCTTTATCAGTGACAAGTAACCCTACTAGATTAATTATTAAGTTTCTACAACTTGTAATGAGAAACGAATTGCGCTTTGAGGCGACGGCTCTTTGTTAACGTGTACATGGATATTTTACGAGATTAACTCATCTAAAATATGAAAGTAAACCGTGGTACGTTGTCGTGGTTACATCTCGTTTACGCACCGCGCTTTTAATTATCTATCGATTTCGTGTAATCTGTTCCATTTTCGGGAAGAGAGAGATATTTGTGCGACTTCGGTGTTCGCGCTGTAATTCGCTCTGTCGTTCTTCGCAACTGGAACGGGCAGGAAGTAAAGAACGTCGCTTACTGCATTTCACGGTATTTTACATCGCGTACGGGAGTGTCCGAAATTTCGCGCAATCGATTTTCGCGAGTGAGTGTGTGAGTATAAGTGCAACAAGAAAATCTGAGAGGAGGAGCAGGCTTAGGCGGCATCAGGCAACGGCAGAGAAATCGTAAGGTGTCTTACATTTTTGTTATTTGCTAATTGTGCAAAATAAAGCATCTGTTCTGTGCTTTTATTTTATTTATTCAAATGATTCGAACGTGGATTCGAATAAGTGTTAGAGACAAAACCATACGTATAAAATTTTGTGAGTTCATATTTAAAAGGAAGACTTTCAGTTCTATATAATTATTTTAATAAATACCTATTTTCAAAAATATTAAATATAAAGTATATTTAACACAATAGTCTGGATTTTACATAATTAGTCTATAATAATCGTATACATTTTTGTATTGTTACAGTTTAACATGTATAGTTAGCGATGTACAACTTTGCTGTTGCGACTCGTATCAGTGAGTGACATATTACTTTGTATTTTAAAGTGACGTTGCGCATATAATTACTTCTCTCTCTCTCTCTCTCTCTCTCTCTCTCTCTCTCTTCGCGTGTGTACAAATTCTTAAAATACACAATGCTCGACCACAAACAGCGCGTTCTGTTATGTCTAGTATTTCTAAATTGTAAACCTTCATTTACTCTGAACCTAAAAAAGAAGTTAAGCACATCGCGCTTCGAGAAAATCAATCGGCATCGCGGAAAAGGGCCTTAACTGTTCGATATTAACGACATTCGCGCTGGTAACATCTCTTTATTAGTAAGGGAACAAGCGCGCGCTTTGCGCGCGCCATTTGCTCTCTCTCTAAAAATTCGCATGGTTTGACAGCTGCAAATAACGACTGAAGTATGTCGTATCGCATAAACGAGACAGCCACTCAGCATCGCGGAAAAGCGGCAACAATACTTCGAGATAAATAACAATAAATCAACAATAAATCGACTTACATGCCTTTTTTTAGAAGTGGAGAGTGGATTCCGTTATCCCTCCCAAAGTCCCAATTCCTTTAAACAATACCTTTGTATGCAGAAGTAAATTGTGTTATGCAAAAAATTACAATTTCATTTTAAAGTATTATATTCCTACTGTAACATGCGTCATGAAAGATGCATTATCTAATACTTGCCTCTCTCAAATATTTGGGAACTTAGCAGTTCTGCTGTATCCCCATACAGCACCAGAGCTTTCAGAAATATTTCAGAAAACATTGTTGCAATGTTTCAATGTTTCTGAAATGTTTCTGAAAGCTTCGGTGCTGTATGGGTCGTAGCATCCCACTGTTACATTGCAGGGCGGGAGTTAATGGTGGAAATTACAAAGCGTTGGCAAAAGCTCTAGAGGGCCGTATTTTATTCATAGATATTTATAGCTAAGCTACATCTTTTTATTTGTATGCAAAAATACACACACAATTTGCTCATTGTTTTTAGCACAATTCCATATTTATTAACATTTTAAATTATACAAAGAGATTAGAGTTTCTTTCCATTTAATTTACATATATCGATTAAATTCATTTCATAGGTATAATTTGGTTAGTATCATACTTTTCTATTAGTTCTAATATACGATTGTATAAAAGAGTTTTTACATCGATTGCCCACACAAAATCTAAGTGATTGAAAAATTTATACGGTACTTCCTCAGTTAAAAGAACATTTGGTAAGCGTTCACTTAGATCCAACACATTCTGAAAATAAAAGACAGAAAGGAAACAACAGTATATTATATAGTAACAAGATGATTTAAATGTATAAATAAAGAAAATAAATCTTCCGATCGATATAAATCAATTGATTTTTTACATTTCTTTTTCATCTTTTACACTGTATATTAAACTGGATTCCTTCTTATTCTTAATAGTTATGTTATTACAATTTCGTCACCCTTAGGTAAAAATTTTTGCTTTTCCGTTTATTTGTGAGTAAAAATTAGACAATAAAGATCTAAACAAAAAACTATTACCTCTTTTAGAGCAAGCTTATCATTTGCTCCATAAAATAACATCATCGGAGCAGTAATCTTTTTAACATCATATCTTGGGGGTGTTTTCTGTTTATATCGCTTATAATTTTCAGCTATTCCATAATCATAGTTTCGAAAATCCTCTGCAATAATCGATAAATCGTAGAAAAACGTGTCCCGGGTATAAAAATATATTTGGAAAAAGATATTGAATAAATACATGCATATGTACAATAATAAATTAATCCATAGAAAAATATAAATTGCTTTACAATTTTACTCTTTATTTCTTACTCTTGCCTTAAACAGCACAAACTGTTTTATGTTAACATTAAAACAATTGGAATATTGCTTGATGAAAGGGAATATCTTTTTATTGAACGGAATATACTCACTTGTAAGTATATTTTGATAATAATGCTCTAATGTTTGTATAGAAACGCCAGCTGGACCATAGGATACTATATCCGGCAGGGTTGTCTATAATAGAAATAATCTTTGTATACATGAGAAGCCACAGAGCGACCAATTAGAAGAAAATAATAGGAAGTGGCTAGAGCCGTTACAGTAAATGTACTTAATTATAAAAATAATTATAGAATAATTATAGAACATTAGAAATTCTATATATTTATAATAAATAGCATTTACACACACTATAAGAATTGTATCTTTATCTTTTGTCTGGCCTGTATGATGTAACTCACAGTGTTAAGTTGAGCTGGATCAGAACCTACGATTGCAAATATTACATTGGCACAAATACTTTGAGTTATTGCATTGTCATTACAGAACGTTCTTGCTAACGTAACCAACGTTAAAGATTGTGGTAAAAAATCATATATTTTATTCTGTCGTAGAAATTCCTAGAACATGTAAAACAAACATGTCAGTCGGCAAAATGTTAGCAGATTGGCATCAGAAAACCACACCAAAACCATCTGCGTCCGCATTTGGCTTTTGTTTTGGTAACAAAGTCTGTAAAATATACGCTGTCAACAGACTGTCGGCAGAAACCGATCAGGTCCAGTTATGTGAGCAGATTTTGTTGTATTTCTGCCGACACGCCGCGCTGGCAGCATGTCGAATATATCAGTTCCTGTATGGAATCTGCAGTCTTTCTGCCTTCAAAATTTGTAGTGGAGATTTAACGAAATCTGATCTGATAGATTTGACTATCTGAGATTCAAATATCAGCGCATAACAGTTAGCAATAATAGTATATTTAACACATTAAATAATGATTGCTTAATCTCTTGTATTTTAAACACTAGGCTTGCAATAAAAAGTGACAGATTTTTGTTGGGGTAAGGTAACCGGATCACAAGTACCAAATGCGGATCACAAATTTAATGAGTCGCTAATAAGCGATAATTTAAAGTAATTCACTTAAATTTTGCTCTTTTATATATTTTCAACTTTATGCTAAATATAGTCGACAATAGTCGATATCATAAAAGGCATCGATGTGTTTTTACGTCGCTTATTAGCGATTCATCTTCATGATTCGCATTTAGTATCTGATCCGAATTTGTTCACCGTATCCTACCATTGATATTGGAAAAATGTTAGCTACTTCGATCAATGTAGGTGTTACTTTCTTCCAAAAAGCAGCTGGACCCAGGCAAATGGCCACTTTTAATTTCATATTGTATTCCGGTTTTGATGACAAAAGAGCAAATAACGAAGTTGCTCCCATTGAATGACCAATATAATATAAATCTTTTTGCTTTGTATAATTGAGAATGTAACTTAACATGGCCGGCAGATCTTTTGTTCCAACCTCGTGAAAGCTGTAAAATAAGAATTTTACAAACATATTTTCTCACTTTTCCCTCCCTCCATTACAAATGCACGCAATCAATTTGCAGTAAGAAACTAATGTAAGTAAAAAATTTATAATCCTGCTGATAGAATTCGAATAAGGAAATACCACGCAAAGTCTAACATTTAGAAAACATGTTATAAGTATTCTTTTTTCATCTTTCTTCTTTCTTCTTTCTTCAACTTTTTTCATGTACAGTATATACTTGTATACTTTACTTTTTATTGTATACTCTTAGAAATTCCGGACTTTGTCTTCATATTACTTGTCAGGCATATTCATTCAGTACAAGTAACAATTACATTATCATTTCATAAATATCTCTCAACTTCAAGTAGCTTGTACTTTAAGTGTAAAAAAATTTTTAACTTAATTCAGCGTTTCTTTAAAATAATTTTAAATAGCAATGGTTTTACCTATACTGCCAGAATTTGGGATCGTATATCGTCATATTCACATGTGATCTGCAGTAACTATTCCCTCTCATATTTCCAATCCATACATCATATCCTTGATCTGCTAATAAAAATGCTGCAAAATAAGATAGTAATAAGCTAATGTAGGATGTAGTAAATATATGTATAGTTATTTTGTATAAAATTTAAAATCAATTTTTAAAACAATATCCATGCTATATTTTATATTTTTAAAAACATACCTTTGAAATTTGACCCATTACAGATTAAATTCTATTTAATTCCGTTTTAAATTAATTCTAGGATAACTAATATTATATTATTTTCTTGAAATGTTACGCATGAAAATGTCCTTTGTTTTCAACAGCCTTTGAAAGCTTGTATTAAAATAATATTAAATATTATTGTCTTGACATTTTTGTACGTGAACATTTAACGAAATTTTTTAAGAAGGAGATATTTACGAAAACATTAAAATGTCAGTAATTTTAAAGTTATAAAAGTTTGAAACTTTTTTAAAAATACTATGTAATGAAATTTTGTACAGTATTTTAAATTGATTTGTAAATTGCATTAATAATTACACGTGTAAGTAAACATACCAAGATCTTTACTGGGACCATATATTACCCAGTAATCAGATGAAACCAACATACTGTGTAGCATGAATACAATTTCTTTCTTTTTCGTATTATTTAACAATGGACTTCCAGGTATCCTATGTATCTTCAGATTATAACCATCTTCTGTTGTGACGTTATGCTCCTCAGCAGGATAACCGTATTGTTCCACCAGGCCAATCTACTTAAAAGAATAGCGTGATGTATAATATCCACAGGATATCGTTGTGTAATCTCTATTTTTATCTCGATTTGTTTTAAATGTTAAAAAATACTTATACAAAATTTAGAGACCGTAGGCTTAGCAATTTAAGACAATAAAATTATGTACAATTTAATCTATATTTGTCATAGAACTACTAAAGAAAAATTGAATTTAATTAAAAATGCATGTGAATTTGATTAAAAACAATTTCTTACTCACGAAATCCAATAGTTTTGCATTGTTTATTCTGTCTATTGGATCCATTTTTCTTACTCTCGTTAAACCAGGCTCCTTAGGGAAGATTAAATTTAGTAATATATTTGGAAGATTTTGCGACCTTCCTTCTAAGGAAGTCATAAGAATTATAAGCACAAGGAGTATGGATTTCATGTTTGACGTCACCGCGTGACTTATTAGCAATTTTTTGTGTCTGCAATCTCTCTGCAATCTGTCTGCAAGAAACAGGCATGATAATGTTGTGAGTCGACAACAATTTGAAACTGATATTTTAATATAATAATTTTTATTTTTGTTGCAATAATGATAAAGGTAGTAAATATTTAAAATTCTACAAATACACACATGAATTTGAAGATAATAATCGGTATGCATATGCACTAGTATATTTAAATTTGTATAAATGCCACATAAAAAATATTTGTCTTTCAAGCTTACCTCCTTATTAGTATATCTCTAAATATATTTTTAAAGATCAAATTTGTAAATACAACAAATTTCACGTCTAGTAAAGTCAGATACTTTTTCAATAAAATCTTAAAAAATGTAGACAAATTTTATATAAATAGTAATAGATTCATGAATAATATTCGAATATTTCAAATATTCTAAAATTACGTTAAGTAAATTAATCTTCATAAAGAAAAAGCTAATTCTACCGTTCTCTCGCTTATTGATAGTACAATTTTCTAATGAACAGTTAGTACAAATTTTATGTTTATATAACAATTAACGTATGTTTGCTATTTACAAACTATAAGTTAATATGCAAATGTTTCTCTTCTGATATACTTAACGAAAATTACATCACATACCTGTTAAGAAAATTGATGAAGATAAAAACGTCTTCCTTAAGTATTACGGCTGGGAGTTTTAATGTTTATTGCTACCGCATATATTCCACGAAGACACAAAGAGTGAACGATTAGTATAAGACACAATATGAAACTACGAAGAATCACCAGTCGTTTGAAATATATACAGGATGTATATATTCTACTGTGCTGTAATCGCCGTTCACGGGGAGGTAGAGGGGACTAAGCAACCAGAGAAGTCCTCTACCATTTTGCAATTGAAGCAGTAGTTATCGAGATGATCAAAAATCGCCCGACTTACCGCAAAATGTAAATACGCGGTGAAATGTGTCCGCCCATCGGCCGACGCTCACGGCGGTGCGCAGCGAGGAGTAGGGAGGTGCCATCACTGCCCGTCGACCAGTTACATGACGGAGTGCGTAACAGCATAAGCATATGCATAAATTTTGTCTACATATTTCTCAAATTAAGTATTTCGAAAACGTAAAAGCACTGCTGAACACGATTTTAGGAATTGTTTTATCGTCCTTGATTTATAATATTTTATGTTATCATTTATGTATTATTTACATTGCATAACCAACCGCGAGCTAAGAGGGGGAAGCACACACTTTAGCATAAGTGCATATGCAGAAGGAATTTGATTGGTCCATAAGCAAATGCATAAGGAAATGAACCAATCAAATTCCTTCTGCATATGCACTTATGCAAAAGTGTGTGCTCCCCCTCCTAGCTCGCGGTTGGTTATGCAACGTAAATAATGCATAAATGATAACATAAAATATTATAAATTAAGGACGATAAAACAACTTTCCTAAAATCGTATTCAGCAGTGCATTACGTTTTCGAAACACTTAACTTGAGAAATATGTAGACAAAATAATATTTAAAATTTTTATTGCGCAAAAAATTTCACTTTTGATTTCACTCCTCAATAAAACTTCCAACACGTAAATCTTCACTAAACTTCGTCGGTTACGTATAAACATCATAAGTCGCATTTACAATATTAATGGAGAGTTCATTCAACATACAGACTTCTACAATTAAACAATTCAACATACCCCGTATTTTCCTATCAACACGATCTTGCTCTATCACTGTATGTAGAATTTATCGCTAAATATTTACTTATCATACGTATAATAAATGAGGTTTAAGGATGTACTGGTGCTAACATTCTAACATTGACAATACCCTAAAACTTTAATAGATTGTTTCTATTTATTATCTGTACACGTGTGCAAAACCTGAAGCCGATTCTCTAACCGGTTCATGAGTTATTCCACTTTTAATTTTGCATGAGTTCTTATGGAGAAGCAGCATATTCCTACTTATATAAACGAAATTAAATGGAAACAGCATTGCCAATATTCTGAAACTTTGTTTGTGAGTAAATAAAATAGTGAGCAACGTTTCTAAAAAAAATTGATAACGATTCACTAACTCTTTATCGAGTTAAAAATATAAATAAAATAAATAATAAATAATATAAATAATATAAATAATATAAATAATATAAATTAAATATTGCTAATATATGCAACATTTTTCGTTCCTTACAGTTGATTTCAGGTGAAATTCACGTCCAAAAGTTTTTTGTTGATAATCACAAAATTTGCAAACTGTGCAAATATATTCATTTGTAGTGCTAAATATCACATTAACTGGCATTATTTAAATCCTTTATATGATACGAGCACATAAAAGCATAGAATTTCATCAATTTCAAATTGAAGTCACTTTTGTCTGGGATTGTATAGGTAATACATCCTTAAAGACTCACTTCAGTAGAAATTGACAATGTCTAATTAAAAAAATCTTTCGCGGCCACTACAGGCACGATCTAACAATGAATTTTCTACTAAATAGATTTCATTCCAAGAGCAATAAACGCATGGTGGAACCAATTGATGACGGCTAGTAATTTAACAGAATTTCCACTATCTTATATTAACAGCCTTTCTCATAATTCATAATTAAATATTAAGTATTACCTTTTCTATCTTCATTTCTATATTAACTATGAATTATGAAATGTAATGACTTTGGATCTCAAGATTGTCAAGCAGATTTGTTAACAATTTTGTATATATTTTTATAAATCTAATTGACTGATGTCATCGCTTAGACGTAGCCATATCGAAGTCCTGCTGGAAGGTGATTGTGAGTGCCAACCAGAAAAAAAAGGAAATCTAATCATTGACTTTTAGCGTGTAAACAACATCTCCGCATTAGAATAATCAGTAGTGATGCAAGTGAAATCATTCAGACTTCAACCAATTATATAGTCTGAGAATAATTAATCATGGGTTTGTTTTCTGTTCCTGCACTGGTGAACTAGTGCAGTAAGCTAGAATGAGAAAAAATATGCTTGTCTTACTCCAATTTATTGCACTAGTTCACTAGTGTAGGAACAGAAAACAAGCCTCATGTGTTATAACACACACTACGCGCATTTTCAACTCAACCGACTGATACACGGGGTATACTATTTTATTCAATCATCCCACAAAAACTGTTTTATTTGTTACTGTAGAAAAAATGCTTTAGATAAAAGTCGTTTGGTTTGAAAAGGAACACATGATTCCGATGTAAATCACGTAGATGTTATTTTCACGAAATTTTGAGGGCGATTAATTTCTTAAAGAAAACTTGATTTTTCCTGAGATGGAAATTGTAGTTTTTGTCGAGACGTTTTCAAAACATTACGAAACAAAAAGCTAAACAGTGTTCGACAAGTCGACACTGTGTAACACTGGGTGCATTCCGTTTTACACATGATACGCATAATGTACGCAAAATCCAGTTATCCTTATATACAGGGTGCTACGCAACATATTGACCAGTAGGTTGAGCTAATACGACGATTTTTAAAATTCCATATCTCGATAACTATTCGTCCAAGCGCAAAACAGTACAGGACTTTTCTGTTTGTCTTAGTCCTCTCTACCTTCCCATGACCGGTGGTCAATATGTTGCGTAGCACCTATATAATAACAAGGATAAATGATGAATTAGTGTTGGTCTACAACCTTGCTTTAAGTAAGCTGTACACCTTAAGCCGTAAGAAATTAACCAATCACAGGTGTGAGTGAGGGGAATAAATACCTGTGTTTGTTAAATTCAAATTTAATAATAATAAAGTACAATTAATAATTAAAAGTAGCACTGATTTGTAATTGCACAGAAGATTAAGTATATTTTAATTGAAAAATTAACTATTAATTAAAATCCTAAGTAATTAAATGATATAGACTATACATATTAAAGCGCATACTTATAGCATTAAATTATTTATTATTTACCTTAATAATAACTCAATATCGAGTCTCGTAATTTTCTAATTTTAATCTTACTAACACAGGCCAATTAATAATTTTATATTGGCAAATTTGTGGTAATTTGTCAATTTGTTTAGCAATTCTATGTTTATTAACATTTTAAATTATACAGAGAGATTAGAGTTTCTCTCAATTTAATTTACATTCCTCGATTAAATTCATTTTATAGATTTATTTTGGTTAGCATCAAACTTTTGTATTAGATCTAACACACGATCATATAGAAGAGTTTTCACATCAATTGCGACCACATAATCAATGTGATTGAAGAGTTCGTATGGAACTTTCTCAGTTAGAAAAACATTTGGTAAACGTTTGCTAAGTTCTAACAGGCCCTGAAAATCAATAATATAAAAAGAAGAGTACTTATTAGTCACAAGATGATTAAAAAATGTAAAATAGAAAATATATCATTCAATTAATATAAATCAATGATATTTTTCCTTTTATATTTTGCATGGAAATTCAATCAGATTCTTTTATATTTACATGATCATTATTTCGTTAGATTTGTGCAACAATTTTTCTTCTACATTTATTTATGAGTAAAAATTAAGTAAGAATTAAAAATGTGACCGCTACATGGAGAACTGTTACCTACCTCTTTGGGAACAAGCATATCATTTTCTGCGTAAAACAGTATCATTGGAGCAGTAATCTTTTTAAGATCATAATTTGGGGGTACTTTCTGTTTGTATCGCTTATAATTTTCAGCCACACCATAATCATACATTCGAAAATCATCTGTAACAATTAATAAGACTCGCATATCTACAAGTACATGTCCTAAACTTAAAAGTTATTAAAAAATATTTAAAAATATATTAAGTAACTCGTACATATAACTATAAATTCATCTGTAGAAAATTATATATTAATTGTGATCTTTCACGGATCATTTGAACAGCAAGAAATGTTTTATTGTAATATTACATCAACTAGAATATTACTTTATAAAAAAATACTGTTTTATGATATGGAATACTCACTTATTTGAATATTTTGACAAAAATGCTCTACTGCTTGTACAGAAGTACCAGCTGGAACACCATAGGACATCATATATGGCAGGGCTGTCTATAACAGAAATAATTGTAGATAAAAAGTCGTGGCACGACCAATTATAAGAAGATAATAAGGAGTGGTTAGAGTAACAATAAATTTAGTAATTATAAAAAATTAAATATTTATAGATAACATAATATAAAATTAAGTGTTTACGCACATTATAAACATTGCGTTATCTTTGTCGTATAATATGACGCATATAATAGTGTCATGATATGACTTACAGTATTAAGTTGTACCGGATCAGGACCAGCGCCTAAGAATAATATAGCAATACAAATACTTTGAGTTACTGCATTGTCATTACATAACAATCGTCCCACCATAACAGTCGCTAGAGATCGGGGGAAAATATCGTATATTTCATTTTCATGTAGAACTTCCTGGAATGTAGAAAATAAACATACAATTATTACCTAATAATAGCTAACCACATTTGTAGCACCAGACCGGTATTTCCAATCTCTTGATAAGTTAACTAATATGTTAAATTATATATCTATCTACGTCTGATTTAAAGAAAGAACAATGACATATACATGATTTAACTATTAGTTAATTTCCCAAGAGATTGGAATGACTGGCCCTAAATAATAAAAAAAAATGACATAATATTATCTGGTATTTTAAACACTAGCACTTGCTATAAAAAGTGACAGATCTTAGAAGTTACCTTCAATGTTGGGAATAAATTTATAAATTCGTTAACGACAGGTGACACTCCCGTCCAAAAAATAGCTGGAGCCAGACAAATAGCCATTTTTATTTTCCTATTGTACTCCGGTTTTGATGACAAAAGAACGTGTAAAACAGTACCTCCCATTGAATGACCGATATAGTATAAATCTTTTTGCTTTGTATAATTTAATACGTAATTAAGCATGGCCGGCAGATCTTTTATCCCAATCTCGTGAAAGCTATAAAATAAGATCATACTATAGGCCTACTACGATCATGCTGAGTTTTAGTGTCTAATAATATTTTTGTATGTACATCTATTTTAAGTACATACTTCAGTGATTGAATTAATATACCCGTCCCAGTTAGTAGGGAGATTCAGGTCTGAATAATTTTTTGCATTAAATTATTTATAGATTATTTTCTAAAGGATGTTTAATTAGTGTCATTATAAAATTTATTGTCAATTTAAGTTGAGAAACTATTTCGACTTCAGTCTAATACTACGTGTTTCAAGACTGAAAAAGTTATCGCAATGGCTATATTAAAAAACATGTTATATGCAAAAATATAATTAGGCACTAAGATCCAACGTGATCATAATCTATCTATTATGTGATTTATGATGACGTTTGAGTTTATGTATTATTATATAAATAAAGTTTATATTTTACGAAACATATTTTTCGCTTTCAATTTCAACTGGAACACAGGAATGGTCTTAGAGATATAAAGGATCAAAGTTGTCGAAATCGGTAATTTACACCTTTATTACATACTCTAATTTTGTATTTATATTACTTGGTAAATAAGAAATATATCTCTACAAATAACTATTATTATTTCATCGTGTTGCTTCACATAATAGATATCTCTTATTTTCAAGTAGACTGTACCTTCGTCGTAAAATGCATTTCATGGTTCTATGTTCTGTTAAAATAATTTTTAATAGCAATGGTTTTACCTATACTGCCAGAATTTGGGATCGTATACCGTCATATTCATATGTGATCTGCAATAACTATTTCCCCTTACATTTCCAATCCATACGTCATATCCAAGATCTGCTAATAAATATGCTGAAACATAAAATAAAGTAAGCTTTTAAAATAATATCACCAGGTAAACACCAACCATAACATAAGTTACGCCTATACGAGGCCTGTCTAAAAAGTATCCGACCTTTGGCCAGAAAAAATATTTCGAATACCTGACGGAGTTGGGACCCTAATCCCCTTCAAAGTAGGCCCCTTGTGCTTGCACACACTTAGCCCACCGATCCTTCCACTGCTGGAAACACCTCTGGAAGTCTTCTTTTGGAATGGTGTTCAGCTCCGTCGTCGCGTTCCGCATTATCTCTTCTCTACTCTCAAAACGGGATTCTTTCAGTGGCGTCTTCAATTTTGGAAATAACCAGAAGGTTACACCAAAATTTTGGAAATAACCAGAAGGTTACACCAAAATTGAAGACGCCACTGAAAGGATCCCGTTTTGAGAGTAGAGAAGAGATAATGCGGAACGCGACGACGGAACTGAACACCATTCCAAAAGAAGACTTCCAGAGGTGTTTCCAGCAGTGGAAGGATCGGTGGGCTAAGTGTGTGCAAGCACAAGGGGCCTACTTTGAAGGGGATTAGGGTCCCAACTCCGTCAGGTATTCGAAATATTTTTTCTGGCCAAAGGTCGGATACTTTTTAGACAGGCCTCGTATACTAAGACCACCCTTGAGCCGCATACACATAAAAAATGCTTGGAATTTTCTTGACAACGGGTTGTTGTCCAACGACTGTCTCTGTTTCTAAATGAAGCTATCAAATATCACGGACTGATAATTTTTAATTTACAAGATTTGAGGGTAATTCTTTTTCATAAAAACGTTTTGTAGTAAAATGTTACATTGTGCTTTGGGTGAATTAACCAGCACATTACGTTAAAAACTACATTTTGTCAGTAAATACATACCAAGGTCTTTACCAGGGCCCTGCAGTACCCAGCTATCAGATGAAGCCAAAAGACCGTGTTGGATGAACACAGTTTCTTTTTTATTCTTGTTACCCAATAATGGACTTCCAGGTATTCTGTGTATTTTCAAATTGTAACCATCCTCAGTTGTAACATTATGTTCTTCAGCGGGATAACCATATTGTTCTACCAGACCAATCTAAAGAATAACAAAATGTATAATATCCATTGAATATCGTCATTTTATCTCTATTTTTATTTTATTAGAGTGGCTCCTGCACAAAGGGCGGTTAGTATAGATGTTTTGTTGGGGAACCTCTCTAATTTTTGTAAATTTATGACTTTTTCATTTAGAAAATCACTTAATGCATTATTGATCAAATACATTGATATGCTGAGTTATAGGGTAATCCTGAAATAGTTGTTCAAAATCAGGGATTGAATTGGGTTTGTCATAAGGATTGAAAAAAGTTCCCATAAACTTTATTTAGTCCATTATACATATATATTATATTAAATAATAGTCATTTAACAATTAAAAGCTATTGACTCAATATAAGACACTAAAATTACATAGTTTAATCTACTAAAGATAAATTTAATTTAATTAAAAATATATATAAATTAGATTAAAAACAATTTCTTACTCACAAAATCCAATATTTTTCCATAGTCCATTTCTTCGGTTCGATCCAGTTTCCTTACTCTCATTAAGCCAGGATCCTTAGGAAAGAACAATTTTAGAAATTCCTTTTCGAGAAATGGTATGTTCTGCGATCTTCCTTCTAAGAATGTTATAATAGTTATAAGCAAGAAACATAAATTTTTCATGTTTGATGTATCAATTTATTTGCAACTCGAATTGCAAAATCAATCGTTAAGAAAAGCCTCAACTATCGTCAATGTCACTTGAAATACTTTTCGTAAGACAAGCTTGAGCTCCTGTGCAGTCTGTAATAAAAAACAATCGTCATGAGAATAATACTGAATCAATAATTTAAAAATATTGTTTTAACGGAGTTACAATTTTCTATTGTGGAAACGATAAAAGTTAATATTAAAAATTTTTACATGGACTTGAAGATAATAACCAAAATGTATACATATACCCTAGCGCATTTAAATTTTTATAAATTTTCTATTAGAAATTACTGATATATAATTTTATATAAATATAATTAAAAGTAAAGTCAGGTATAAAATAAATTAAATACGTGACTCAAAAATTTAATACAAAGTGTAATATATGTACGTACAGTAGCGACAATGCTAATTGGAGTAGAGACAAGAGTAAATGAGTTGGATGATAAAAGATTCTTAGATATTACAAAAGTGATTTACGTTCTCATCATATTCCACTAAGCACGAAGAGTACACACCTAATACAGAGACTATACAGATCTACCTGGAATCATCAGTTGTGTTTCTCGAATTATATACACTCGTTGTCAGTAACGTCTGCAACGTTGCTTAACGTTTTCGCCCTTCCGTACAACTTGTTTCTAGTTTTCCTCTATTTCAAATAGTGAAAATAATGCACATATTTACGTAATTTTTGAAAGGTTTTCTAAAAGTCTTTTTTCATTACTTTCTCTTAATAAAATAGAACAAATTTTTCAAGGTTGCCAAACAATTTTAATGTACCAGACAATAATAAAAAAGTTATATATTGCAGAATTAGAGTTGCATTTGTCAATAACTCTATACAGATTTCTTGTTTTTTACAAGTTTATTCTTTGAATGTTGTATACTACAATTTCTAGCTCCGTTACTACATAAATTATCAAACTATCGTTATGTCTTTGATTGTCAAGATTAAAATCGATCTTACTGTTAACCTTGTAGTTTTTTACAGCTCTAATCATTCACTTCTATTGTCCAAGTAAAATAGCAACTTTGCATTACAATAGTCAAGTAATCGAGATAAAATAAATACAACATTGTGGAACTTCAACTGATCATTTGAGAAAAATTAATATTACGTTATGATAGACTTGCGCATTCTTTTTTAAACCTCTTCGATAGTTTGAATTGAAAAATGCTTATCATCTATAATTATTTACTAGGTGCTTAAGATCCCAATTATCTCAACAATAAAAGATGCAACATCATACGATTTTTTCATTACATATACTTTTAACTTCTATTGACTTCTACTGCATAAATAAGTAAAAAAATATAGGTGTCTATTTTAAAAAAGTTGGTGACCTTCATAACTTGAAAAAGGCATAATAATTAACTTTTAAATAAGCAAGCAAAAAATTTGGAAACAATTTGTGATCTGATACGTTATTAAGAATGTCAAGTTAAAGGAGGGAGTGTAAAAGTCGTCGTTTTTCACCTACAGAGAAATCTGCAAAACATGTTTTGATACCTTATTTACTGTCGAAAGAAGAAGAAAATAACGCTTTTTATATTTTACAAGAAAACTACGAAAAATAATAGAGAATCGATAATAAATGTGTTTTTAAAATGTCTATCAAAATAGCTGTTTTAGTTTTATAACAAGCACCCTACATTCTATACCACGAAATTGTATTAGGAACGCACAGGAGTGAAAGCTAAAATGTATTTGTGTAAAGTAAATGTTGCATATGTGAAATAACGATTTACATTATTCAATCTTAAATAAGGCAGCAAAAGTTTTGTGCAGCTGTTCCTTTGAGGTGAAAAATGATAACTTTTACCTCCTTTTACGACAACAGCGTTAATTATATGTCTATTCAATACATCCTTAGAATTTTATATTCTTATATCTGTAGGTTTTTGAAATCGCTGCATTAAAAAAATTTTAACAACCTACGATTTAAGAATCTTGAAAACTTATCTAATCCACACTTTTATTTTAGAAATATTATACACGTGTAATCAAATGAAGATCATACATAATCAATGCAATACCACAGTGACACAAAGATCTCCATAAAGCACAAACGTACGCACTTGCTGATCTCTATAATATCGGGCAAATGTATAAACATTAAACATTACATAATATATGTATAGTTATATGTACAAAGTATTTAAATATATATTATTTAATTATTTAATTATATGTATACACATGCACGTGCGGGCGCGCACATACATGTATAATTTTTATGTTTTGTTAGTGTGTATTTTAACTTTGCATTGCACTAGTCAAAAATACAAATCATCTCTGAGAACATCATTGTATAACATTCAGTTGTTATTTCGCATCTTATCACAATAATAGATGGATTAGGTGGACGTCAACCAAGCAGTTCAAAGTCTTCATCAGATGTGTCGTATTGACGTTCAATGTGCTCAAAGTCCACAACTGCACAAAAAATTATATTTGTCTAATAATTATTTACAAATAAATCTCACTTTCTATTTACAAATCAATTATCAATAATCAAATCTATTTTAAACCGTCAGATATAAAGATCTGTACTGTATATAGTGAGTTCTCTATTTTGATGCAAAATTAAATAATATATTATTCACTTTTCTATTAAACTAATTCACGAACGAAG